TCTCTCTCTCTCTCTCTCTCTCTCTCTCTCTCTCTCTCTCTCTCTCTTTTGGTCGATTCCATTTCAATATGTACCACCGGTGAGAGAATACGTAGCCAAATTGGCATTATTGCCATGAAATTCGCATTAGTTTCCTTGTAAAATTTTATGGTAAAAGCATTTAAATGCGATTGATGTGTGTGGAAGCTGAATTATGGCCAAAATGATTTGCAGTTTAACTTTCAAAATGAATAACTGAATGCATAAATAACGGTAATTTATTGCAATTTGATTTGGTTTAACGCGCGTGCGCGCCTCGTGCATTTTGAGCCGTCTTCGACATGTGTGTGTGTGTGTGTGTAAGTTTGTCTGTCGGTCTGACTGGATCCGTCGAGCCATTTCACCAATTATACATTATTATTATTATTATTATTATGGCTGATTCGATCTGCGGCATAAGCATACACAAATCAATCGACCGAGTAAATAGGAAATTGAAAAGAAAAGACCTGCTCATTGCGCGCAATGTATGCGGTTTGCTATTTTGAATATTGAAAATGTCATCCGATGATCAGAAACAATAATCAAGTCAATGACATTACGTCGCGTTTCACAGGCCCACAAGTAATCAATAGATGAGATAGTCTAGCTCGGTGTGTTTCATCGTTATTTTGCCTTTCGCAACTCTGCCATATTCACCGCACCGTATATTTTCGTTATCGGTTCAATGGCTCTCCGGCTCACTTCACTTATGTAAATGCATCTATGTCAAGCATAATTTTTTTCTGTTTGCCTTTAAAAGAGATTTTTTAACCCAACGATAGTTTTCGCTTTTAATTGAATGCGGACAAGATAATTGAATTGATAACCCATGATAGTTGCAAAATCTTTGCTATTTTTTTCATATCTTTCGTTTGTTTGTTTGTTTTTTTGACTTACCTTTCTTCCATCATTTCGGAAAATGTTTTCGATTTCTTTCGATTACGGTCGAACTCTTCCAATTCAAGTTTTTTCGCTTCAACAACGCGATCGATAATATGTTCAACACGTTTTCTGCGACCGGATTTCCAATTGTCCAAATTCTGTATGGGAAAAAAAGACGGCAATCATTCAAATGTAGAAAAAAACTACGGACGAACAAAAAACGCCTGAAGATGTATAATCAGACAGAAATAATCAAATTATGGGTTAAATGATGTTCATTTCGATTTTGAATCGAATCACGATTAGCAATTCCATGTGATGGGTAAAAATCGACCATTTCACCATTAGAGCCCAAAGTGAAATGAACCGTTACATCGTTGATCGTGTTTTCTATTTCTACCGCAATTCACCTGATCACTCACTTTTGCGGGAAAGTGATCGAAATCGAATTCATTTTTTTTAAACCCTGGGCCAGACATTTAGTTGGATAAATTCGTTAAATGGCGGCCATTGGGTAAATCGGATTAAGATTCTGCATTTTCCAAAAATATGTGTGTATTTCTCTTTTTTTGCCATGGAATTAAGGCTAACGAATTTCGCACAAAGAAAAAGCTCAATAAAATGTTTATTTCTTCATTTGGTTGGTCTTTGTTTACTGCTTTCATTTTTGGAAGTATCACATTTCAGCAATGCCGTGAGCATCAATTTAACACAAATGTTTCTGTTTCGATTCTCTTCGCTTTCCGAAGTGTGGCGGATAAAAAGAATACAGGTAGAGAGACGTCAAAATTGTCATTTATTCCACGGTTATTTTTATTGCTTTATTTTGAGTGCATGAACAGCACGGCGAAAAAGTGGAAAAAGCACGGAATCCATTGAATTGCGTTGACCGCAATTTCAGTCTCAATTTCGTTTGGAACGTGGTCATTGCTTAGACTAAATCATTGAAAAGCCGTCTCAGTACTCGGCTGTAGTGGAACAATACACAAGTGAAGCAGAAAGAAAATAAGACGAAGAATCCGTCAAAGCGAATGATTAGCGCTGCCGCGAATCAAATTGAAACTCGGCCAAACTCAGACGGCAAATTTTCACTCAAACAAAATAATAATGAAAATAGTGAATAATGGACTAATGGAGGCAAGTTCATAAGAGACAAACGTCCGTTCCAAATTCGCACACAAAGCCAGCCCATTTATAAACGTCAATTTACGAGAGTATTTCTTCTCTTTTCATTGAATGAACCGCGTGTTGTTGTACTGTGTGCTTCTTCTTTTCGAGAATGAGTTTGAGTTTCAGGTGGCATTGTTTATGTTTACAGACAAAAACAACGAAGAAAAAACCCGCTCTTTGGACGATCTTGTGCTTTGTGCTAAATAAAAAAAAACGTGAAACGAACCACTTACACATATCAAACAATCGACTATTCACTGACTCTTTTCAGTTTCATCTGCTTCTCGGTCGTATATCATTATCATGCAAATTTCTCTTTTCTCGCTCTATCCTCAACAAAAACAAACAATACGTATGCAGAAGAAAAGAAATAACATAGCTCTCCACAAATCACTTTATTCACAACAAGAAACTGGAACAGTTTTTCAAATGAACTTTTTTTCTCACTTTTGATGGCTGTCGTCGGTTGTTTTTTTTCTGCGTTAAATGACAGCGTTTATTCAAATTTTAAATCTCTATTTGTATTTCTTTGCTCTGTCCACAAAAACAAGCACATTACGAATCGTATCCACTTCACAACCGCTTCAACTGAACTTATAACAAGAACTGAAATGAATTTTCTAAATGATTATGAATTTCGGCCAACTTTAGAAGAGAAAAAAAATGATTTTTTTCCATTTCGATTTATGATATCGACACAATGTGGTGTTCGCTTGACGTTTCTACGCCTATTGAATTCCAAATCAACCACAGGCAACTACAGACATATGATGGCCTTTGAATACCAAAATATGACGTTAAAACCCTATTTATCTATTGGGTTTCGGTAGTGTGTGCTCCGTTCGAATTTACGTCGAAAAAATTATTATGACTAATTTTACAAGCTTCAATGCTGCATATCTTTCAAATCAGTTCACAATTGTGGCATTTCGACAGTATGTGTGTGTGGATGTGTGAGTGTATATGTTTGTTTGCTAATGGTCACTTTAAAGATACATCATTACTACTACGCATCACATCGGCCATAAATATTTGTGGTTTTTATTTTCTGAGTTGCATGTGTGCGTTTCCAGCATTTATACTAAATCGATTTGTCGGGATTTTTTTTTCAGGTAAAAAACAAAATCGTTATACCTAAATATAAAATGAAGAGATAGTTGCTGTAAAGGTGCGCTGATCGATGTGTGAGAAGAGATGACCTGCTCAAACGAGGATCGTACACATGTGAACGCTTTCCGAATGTGTCGATGTTTTGTTGACGAACCAACTGCCGTGAACGAAGTGAGAAAGACGCAACCGAAACGTTTTTGTTTTCAAACCTACTCGATGAGAATCATTCACATGTTCTTCGACGTCCACACTCACACCATGCATTTTGGAGAATGTTCGATTCTCTTCACAAAACACAGTTGTTAATTCTTATGTAACAGTTGTGCATCGATCTCTTTGTTGTCGATTCATTTTTTTCAGTTTTGTTTTTTTCCCAATCTTTTTTTGGATTGAAAACAATCCGTCTCACTCGGAGCGAATGGAATATGATTGGAAATATTTTGGATTTTCGACGAACGAGACGACAGAGGAAGAAAATGTGTGTATGCGTTTGAATGCTGTGCGCTGCGTGCATCTCCTCGACATTCCAGATTTCACATGTTACCGTATTGATTGATCGTGAGAATTTCCATGGAAAAAATATCTCCTCTTCTTATTTTCAACATAAATAACGTTTCGTTATTTGTTGTTTAACTTCCGACTTAGTTCGAGAGCGCATACACACACTGAAATTGAATTAAATGTCGGCATTTACTCAATTTTGCTGAGTTTCGAAACACACGTTTCGCTCGTCCATCATCAAACACTTTTCGCAGAAACCGAAAGAATTTATTTACGTCTTTTTTCTCTCTCTCTCTTTCGTCTGAAATTGGCTAAACTTTAATCCCCGACTATCGTTCGATGGAAAGAATGCTCGTTGTGTTTTGAAATTGAACCGAAAAGGAATTACATCGTAAAGAGCAATTTGAGGAAATTGTGCAAAAATTCTAATTTTAAAGTTATTCGATTCTCACACCTTTGACGTGTTAAGTTGTCCAATTTCGTCACGTTATGCACGGTGATGATGGAGATAGAGAGAGAGCGAAATAGACCATAACCATCGGGCATGAAATTTATCAATTTGCATTCCATCCAATCGCGACATTAGTCAATCAACCGAAATGACTACACGTGAACACATGGAAATGGTGATGTAAACGTTTTTTTTTGTTCGGTTTTGGTTTTCGGTTTGGCCACTGTTTGTACGCTATTCGCGTATGGTCCGTAAAATTGGTTGAACAAGCGGTAACGAGGCGTTGAAAGTACATGCAACAATGGCTACGTGCTAAAAATTCTAAATTAAAAGTCAGACAAAATGCCCGAATCGAAACAATGCGAGGGAGAGAGAGAGAGAGACAAAGAAGCGGGAGAAAAAAAACCATTCTTTCACTTGCATCTGCACATATATGCGAAATGGCCAAATTAACCAAAGCCAGCGGAGAGAGCAAAGACAAGAGGCAACAACGGGCGTGAAATTGATCGGTAACTGTACATGTATATTTGAATAACCGCTTCAATTTACATTTACACAAGCACAAGCTCATACGGACTACCTGAATCATCCAGAAAAAAAAACTAAAAAATTTCGGAACGATATGGTATTTGGCACTGATTTTCAATGGACAAACAAAAGAGTAAAAAAGGGAGAAACAAAAACAGAAAAATCCGAACAACAAAGTAAAGAAATGAGAAAAACGTGATTAGCGAAAACGCAAACAGTGGCGCGCCGACACACACGTCGACAACACGAAGACTCGGTCTCGAGCTGTACATACAGAGAGGGAAAAACATAGTGCCAAGGTGCATGAGTTGAATTATCATAATTCGAATGCAACATGCTCACAGCGATATTTGTCCAGCCGAAAACATTGAACCAACGAACGTGGTCAGAAGAAGAAAGAGGCGAGAAAAAAACACACCAAACAATAAATTCAGGAACAAGAGAAAATACACACGATATAAATCGGTAAATATTTATCAAGTAGCCGAAATGTGTGTAGTGTATTTGATTTGTGCGGAACGGTTTGATCGAAGCGAAATGATTTAAATTGTAAATTTGGTCGATCGAGATACCGGGAGAGAGAGAGAGAGAGAGAGAGAGAGAGAGAGAGAGAGAGAGAGAGGGATGGCAAAATGCCAGACCAGGCCACACGACGTGAGCAATGAGCATAAACACACACTCACAGCAAGCCACTTATTTATGCATTCATATTCAGAATTTGGCATTTTATTGTTGTTACTTTGCTCAGTCGTGTTGGATTTCACTTGCTGCGTGGCTCCTAGGCTCACAACCATTCCAGCATTGAATGTGAAAGAGAATATTAAAGAGCGGTTAATTCAATCAATTCAGGTCAAACACATGACCCATTGCACAGAGAGAGAGAGAGAGAGAGAGAGAGAGAGAGAGAGAGAGAATGATTCAGATATATGCGAATCATCGCTAGATAATCGGCGAGCTTCTTTTCTGCATTTCAATTAAACGAAACTATGCACTGCATGACTTCGACCTGAGTATCAATTGCAATGAGCATGTTTATTGTTGTCTCTATCGAACAATTAAAAGCCAATTAGATAAATTATATCTCGCTTGAGAAATCTATTCAATGTAGGTCTACGTTTCGTTTCGGGTCATACGTATACGATGAACCCGATGGAATAAACAAACAAATAATAATTGATTTAGCTTAATCGTACTGAGATATGAGACAGTTTAAAATAGAATGGGTCAAGTGAATCGACCATTTGTTGCGACGAAAAAAGAAGAAGAGCTGAATAAACGTGCGACGATCATTCCGGAATGGAGACAAATAATTGTGCTACAATGCCAACGCATTGTTTCATCAACCTATTTATATATGTATTTAACATTGATGTGCCACACTCTGTCCCATAAAATATATCGCTTTGTCTCGTACTCGTCAATGAACTTTACGACAATGATGATGATGACGACGAAGCAACATTCGTTTAGGTAATGATTAAAATTTATCAGATATAGAATGTTCTGTGCTTTCTTTCTTTTTCTGTGGCTGCACGCGCGTATAGCGTAAATTACGCTTTTGGAATGTATAACGAATAGCGCGATAAGAATCGCTTCAGCAAACGTCAACGTATATACACATAGCGAGTAATGCCGAACACTTTTCCAAGAATCACATCCAACGACGGCTGCCGACGAAAAAAAAACTATTTCTGTGATTTAGATGAGGATTTTGTGAGTGTACAAACAAAAGAGATTGCTAAGTGTGTATATTATATATGTTTAGATCTTTTTTGTTCGTTCGTTTTTCGAGAAAACACCATTAAATGCGAGTAAACAAGTTCACCTAAAACCACACAAACACCATATACACGGTCCATACAAGAAGTTTCTGTCATCTTGTATTTCCTCTCTCACACTCTCTCGCGTGCGCTCTTGCGATGACTCTTTCTTTCTCATTTTCTTTGATTCTATTCCTACAACCGCAATTGTTGTGTACTTTCGTCGCTGTATTTTAATTTGAGGCGGATGAATTACGCCAATTGCAATAGCAAAAGTGTTAAGAGTTTGCCGTTTCTCGCAAAGTGATAGAATGGCAGCGAATAGGGAAAAACAAGTAATCTCCGACTTTTTCGAAGAAGAACCAGAAGATGTGTGTGTGTGCACGCTCGCGCGCGCGTACAGTGGAAAAAGCGACAATAACACATCAAAACAAAACGTATATATGGTTAATGAGTGTAATTATACCGTTAGCATTGATTTTCTTTCGTACAAATCTTGCTCTTGTTTTACTTTAGATTTTGCCTTGATTCGCCTTACACACTCCGCAATTTCACTCATTCGCGGTTGTGGTACTTTAGAAATTGACGGCAATTATACCAAGTGTGTGTGTGTAGATGCGGAGGGCAAAAAAGTGGTTGAATACACGCACAGAATGCGAAAGAGCTAGAAATTCACTTGACCACTGCATGGAGAATGAGAAGAAAGAAGAAGAACGCAGAGGAACATCGCGATAAACTGTAATTTAGTCTAATTGATTGTACGACGACGATGACGACGACGACGACGACAATGTTGTGTTTTACTTGGAATATATTTCAATAAATGCCCGAGCGCCCGACATACTCAATAGGTTGCTGCTGCTGCAGTTCTGCTGCACCAGTTCACTGCACGTCTGCCCAGTTCAACGAATTTTCTATTTATTTATTTATGAATGTCGTGCGCATTTGCGACATACACACACAGTGGTGCAAAAGGTATTTATCAAAATGAACATCATTTTAAACGACGTGAAAAATGATTTAGACTTTTTCAAAGGACTGAAGAGGGGAACGAAAAATAAAGTGCGCGAATTATGTGTCGCACAAAAAATGACTTACGCTTTGCCAATCTTCCGGTTCTTCTTTCACGATCTCTTTGACCTTTTTCACTTCTTCGGCACGTTTCAGTTGCTCCTGTGCACTTCTGAACAAATTACACGGTTTCATTTGTACAAATTGCAATGGATTGGCGGCCGGTTTCGGTGGTGCTGCTTTTGTTACACGAGCCCGTTGCACGTACTCCGTGGGATCGTAGGACATTTGTCGCTGCTGAAATGAGAGAAAAGAAACGCGAAAAAAAACGACAGAGAATTAATTTGTTGTTCAATTGAACGAAATGAAAAAAGGCAAATGAAAGAAAAATCACTGAGAATATGAAAGAAACAAAATTATAATTATATATCGTGCAAAGGAAACACACAACCAGAAGAAATGCATTTGGTGGCGCACAAATGAACGTGTCACTCGGAATTAGAAACGACGACTGTGATTACGAAGTGAAGAGAAACCGATTTGCCAAGCGCAGAATATCACATTGCGATGAAATTTCGAGATAAGCACAAAAATTACACGCAAACACATGAACACGAAATAATTAGGTGTAGATCAGAATACACCAAAGGTATATCTTCTTGTGTATCACTTGTATTTTTCCTACTTTTGATTATTCATTTGTGCTGTTTACAATTTTTTGCCCGTTCTCAGCAGTAACAAAAGCGCATGAACAGCAAAAAAATATGATACGATAAGAGAATGTTTTCATACCGAAAAAAAAGAACTCGAAGATAACGGTGTATAATTATTTGTGTTTATCTGTGAAGTTTAGCCAATCTGGTGGGTTTTGATACGCAAAATATGCGCTGTGCACTAAATGGAATAACAGGCAAGCGAGATAGAGAGAAGTATCTGATTTGCGATTAAAATGAATCAGACTGTGTGTTTATGCTGTGTGCGGTTGAATTTGTACGTAGAGTTGTCGATGCCAGTGGCTCACTTTATTTTATTGCTCGTATGAAAACTTATGAGCCGATAAAAAAATAGTAAAGAGGTAAAAATGAAAACACCACCCATACGAAAGGAAAAATGGGCAATCAAGATCGACGATTTCTTTGAAAGTATATTTTCATTTTGTGTGAACTGTTGCCGATTTTTCGTATTGTTGTTATTGTTGCCCACAATGAATCTCAAATTGAATTGGCCGATATAGCACAACAAAGAGGCGTTGGCGAAACAACCTTTGATTTCAGCTGCTTATCTCAGCACAAATTGAATAAAAACTAGAGCTTAGATGAATAGAAAAAAAACGAAACCATTTGTTTGGTGTTCGGCGCGATACGAAATTGAAGGTATAATTAATGGTGAATACAATATCTCGCTACATCTCTCTCGGTGAGCTGTATATAGATAGAAAATGTTCAAACATCATTTAGCTGTGGGCCATATCAAATCAATTGGCGAACAAAAGAAAACCAATAACTTCGATTACTGTAAGCATTCATTTAGCTACTTATTTCGATTCGTTCGCATTTCGCAAACTAATCGGGGCTCGAGCTCAGGCTCAATGGAAAGGCGTTCAAATCGCAACCAAAGAAAATCGCCATGAAAAGGTAAGCGTACGTTCGGGAGCGCGAGTTGCGAGTGCGACCGCATGAAAGCAATTAGAACTGCCTGAAATGAGCAATTCATTTGCTGTGTGTCTGTGTGTGCTCTTGAAATGAATTGCCATGAACAGGCACATTTTTGATTCACTCTTCATCGTCTTCATCTGTTGTGTTCCATGCAATGCACTCTTTCTAATGTGTAATTTATGGCGATGCAAACACGTTGTGGCAGTAGCACAAAATTAGTATAATCAATGCGCAGCAACGGTGGCGTTTATAATCAGTAAAAAACCATCAGTTACAGGCTACTGCTCAATTCCATCACATGCGCGTACAAACACACACACACACACACATACATTGTAAATATCGATTCATGAGCGCGCTCGCGCACGATCTCAATTACACTTCTTCCAGCAGTATATCGACGCATATTTTAATATTAAATTAAATTAAAAATTCTAAAGCAACTAACCCAAGCGAGATATCATATATCATATAAATATGACTAGATCATTTTCACGTCCAACATAAATTACTTGAGCACCGATTACCGTTCTTCGTTTCTTTTCTTTAATTTCTTCGTCGTTTCTCTCGCGGTCAAGAATTTCTATCGGTTTTTACTCCAGTTTAAATGACGCCAAATATACATAAAAACAAACAGCTCTTCGCGTAATTACAATACGAACGAATTTGGCCAATGGCCCAAAGACAACACACAAATTACGTATGAACGCAAGAAAAAGACGTTGTGTGCGTGTGTCAGGTTCGGTGAACGTAATAAGATTATGATTATGTATACGAAAAATGTTTTCATCATACACACACACACGCCCGAGTCGACAATTTTTGAGAGATGAAGAAAAACAAACAGCTCAAATTCTCTCGCTCTCATCAACAAAGAATTTACGGTATAATTTTTTTCTTGGCTTGAAAATAATTTCGGAAAGGTCAGAGAGATTTTTCTGGCATTGGGAATGGTTCTTCATCTCTTGAACCGTTTCAAACGAGTGGGAATATTTCGAAACAAAAGCAAATTTGGCACAGAAAGAAAAAAAAATAAGTCGATACGATGGGACGATGTTCACGTTTTCACGAAACATGACTTCCGCCTTTGAACATTCAGCAACGGCATCTAAGGATGCAGCACGTTCGCATTTTTCGGCTTTCATCTACTGTCTGCTGTGTGTGTGGCGTGTTTTGTTTTTCGTCTGTCGACTGTGGTTGATTTGATTTTCGGCAGTGTGTTTTTTTTCCACTTTTTTGTCGGTGGTTTATGCAAGCATGGGCTTTCACCACTTAATTGAATTGCTATTTAGTGGACATTTTAATCGGAAAGTGTTATATGTTGAAATTTTCATTACGCTTGCAGATGAGATGCGATTTTAAATGGTATAACCTTTCGCCGTAGCGCACAGTGAAAGAGGCAAGTGGCCAAACAATGCCAACTGACCCGTCGTGTCACTTGCAATGATGATGTAAGCCAAATGAATTGAAGCCACGATGACATGTACTTCAATTGAGTGTGAATTTGCGAGTGAAACTCTTCCCTTTCTTTCATAAAAATCGATAAACGGCCTCTAGTTGACTCATCATAAATACACATGTAGAATGTGTGTAGGTTGACATTATCCGATTTTCAATTATAATAAAAATGTCAGAAGTGTACACACACAACACTTTCCGAAAATGGTCACACACTTAATGGCTGGGCTCAATCAGCTAGAGAGAGAAAAACACTTTTAACACATCTTGACTTGTTGATGTTCTGTTGATTGGTTAAATTGTTTTGAAATTGCTGCTAAGTTGACGGGTTAAAAAGTGTGCTTAACTTTCTGTTTTTGGCAAATAAAAAGAAAAAGTGCTTCTTGTTAGTCGTCGTCGTCGTCGTTGTTGCGACGGCTCATTTCGTTTTGCCGTTAGCTTTGTTATTTCTAATAGGAAGAAAAATTGCTCACCATTTTGCTGGAGCTGTGTTCGTTCTGTGGCTCAACTGCATTCGATGCTGTTGGTGATGTTGGTGTCGTTGGTGTCGTTGGCACGTTACCCGATGGCATCTTTCTCTCTCTCTCTCTTTCTCTTTCGAAATGTTTTATGAGTTTGAATTGGTTTGTTGTTCTGTCGTCACATAAATCTCGCCGTCGATCGATTCGGGCACTTTGCAATTCACATGTAAACTAAATAGTTACGTGCCGGAGCACTGTTCGCCTGTCTTTCGTAATCAATTTCGTTGGTTTCGGCCTTTGGTCTTTGGTCTTTTTCAAGATTTTCGCAATTGATTTGATTGGATATTTATCTCTTCTCTCTTCGCGCTGTCGACCAAAATTTCTTCTTCTCTCTGTCGATTCTATTTCGGATGAGGATGTGTCCAGTTATGGATTTTTTTTTCTTAACTTGTTTCCAATGTAACGGCCACGCAATCAAATTCAAATGAATTAGCAAAATATGTTTTGCATGCGATTCATTGTTGACTCGTGCATGAGAAGCCGAATGTGTGTGCTGTTATGCTTTTGGGCTGGATAGTCGATTTGCTGTTTGCATAACTCTTTTTTCCTTCACCGACTGCCGTAATATAACGATTATGTTGCTTTATATATTTGATCAAAGTCGCGTCCTTTGGGGTAATAAGCTGCAAAGAAAATCGAAACAAAAACCAGATAAACATTAAACCAATGTTGGAAAATACAGAGAATGAAAAAAGAAACACAACGAAAAGTGAGAAATATTTTGTTATTAACATATATGACACCACCATAAAGCGGTTCATTTCTTCCATTCTTTCATTCGCGCTGAGTCGCCATGCTACTTGCGATGCTAATGTTGCTCATTTCAAATGCGAAAGCATTTTTGTTTGCTGTCACTTATTTTTCGCCATTTGCGACTCTTTTCAATTCACGCGCAATTCAAAGTGCACTAGTATACACAGCATCAATTGTGAGTTTGCAAGTAAAACGGCTAAACAACTGCAAGTCATAATAATAAATACCATTAAAATATTGACTTTTTGGACAACGCTAACGAAAAGAAAACAGAGACGAAAAGAAATGCGAAACAATGGCAAATGAATTGTAAAATGCAAAATAAACACGCGGCACGGGGAGGAGAAATGGTCAGAGAGAAAGAGAATTTCTGTAGCGCGATCGGGCTACTGAGCGTTTGTCTCGGCGAAAAGAAAAAAGAATCGCGGCTGGATCAACGAACGGTACTATTTTTTTGTATTTATCTATCAAATGCACGTATATACACATGATACTTGAAGCGATTGCATCGATCACAATTCGGATTGTGTGTGTGTGCTTCGATCGAGCTCGAGGGAAAAAACGGATCCATCACAATTGTTGCCGCATATGGAAACGGTTCGAACTATTCAAAGTCGGTTTGATGGCTGTGGTTTGCCATTGCCGTTTGTTTGTCGAGTGCGCGAGTTTTTTTTTGTTTCTTTGTTTTCCTACGTCTTGGGTTTGTATGTAAAATTTCACAGATATTTTGCCGTCGAATGACTCGGCCAATGCACGTATTCTGTGTGCGACGACGGCGGCGGCGATGAATTTCGTTGTTTGCCGTTGGATTGCGTTAAAAGGTAAGTGAAATGAAACTTGCTGTTTTTTCACTTTTTTTCTATCTATCTGCAGACCAAATGCCTGTGTTGTGTATGTCGCTTTTTTTGCCATCGTTTTCTTTTGCTTCTTTTTTTTCGAATTAGTGTTTTTTCTCCATTTGCCGAAGACTCGCAGCAAATAGTGAATCTGGTTGTGTAGTGTGCACTGGAATGAGGCTATGATATATTGAACAGTCAAAGGTGAATTTCTTCTGTCAGCAGGTTTGTTTCGTTTTTAATTGAGGGAAATTCATAGAAAATAAAAACAATATAACCGAAAATGCTAAACGATTTCTCTGCTCTTGTTTCTTTTTTTCGGCCTCCCGCCTCAAAATTCAGTGCGCACACACACACACACACATACACCGGTTCAAATGAAACTTTTTCAAAAGCAATCAAATTTAAGCGAATCTGCAAATTCATAGCGCCAATTGACGGTCAATCTAATAACAAATAAACCGAGACGAGATTGCTACAATAATAATATAAGCAAACATTGTATACTCTGACAATCTAAGCAAAAAAAAGAAGCGAAATATATAATGGCGTGAATGATTCATTGCTACGTGGTTTTCTTTCAATTCGATCAAAAACTAAATAGAAAAAAGAGACGCGCACGGTATTGAATATCGCGGCGCAATTGAATCGTGAGATGTAACAAAAGCAGTCCATTGTTCGGTGCATCGCATTTTCGTTTGATTCATAATGATGCAAAGTCAAGTACTCTCTCTGTGTGCGATGCTGGTTGATGGATGACTCCGGCGGAGATGTTGCTATTTTTTCTGTATTTGTATACATAATTCAATTTTCGCCAGAGTCTGAAATTACGCCGAAGCACAGCACGTATACACACCGAGCGGAGTGAGAATGTTTATGTTTTTTGTTACTGTTCAATGCCACACAATTTATCCTATCTCTTGCAAAGTGTTTTCTTTTATTCATTTTGCACAAACATATGCCGCTGTTAATAACAAATCTTTGTTCAGCATGGTTCATTGTTTTGCGCGCATGAAATATGCAACCACAAAAATTAATATAATTAGCGACAAATCGAATTTCCGAACCATTTTTTCATTTTTTACAAAATGTGCGCGCTCACATTCGCATTGTTACCAAATGACGCCACAGCCGTGTAATGCTACTTCATTTTTCCCAGACAATTTTTCTCGCTGAACTTTGACAAATGGATCTAAAATTGTCGCATTAAATGTGTGCAAACCGTTTTTGCTGGTAAGGTCGTTGATTTCGAGAAAACTGCCACAAAGAATGTGTGAATGGAAAGACACTCTTGAGACACCAACTTTTGAGCGGCATCATAATGAAAAATGAGCGAATAAAAGGTTCTTTGACCCGCATGGAAAATTGATTTCTTACGGCCACCACAACAGCAGCAACAGCACCTCATCTCGTGATAAACGTTTTGTTTCTGCACACACAAAATAAAGAGTGAGAGTCTTTGTTTGCCATTCATCAAAATGCACCAGACCAGATGCTGCTGCTGTTGTTGTTGTTGTTGTTGTTATGGAAATGGAATGCGTCGGTGATACGCCATTTTCTGAGCTTGTGGCGTTGAACTGAACATGAAAAAAATATCGATCGTTGTGGTATTGCAAACGACTAGTGTTTCATTTTGAAAAAGTGCGAGTTTAGAAATTCCACGTTGAAGGCGAACCCCATTTTTGGTCGGAACTTTATCAGCCGACCATATCGTATGTTGTGATAAGTTTGGCTTGGCTGTGTTTTTTTTTACAAAACTTTGTATGTTTTTCACAATCGATTTTGCTGTTTTTTCAATATATTTTGGGCTGTTTTTATTTGTTTGCGGTTTGTTAACTTTTTTTTGGTTGGTTATGGTTTGGATTGGCATTGGTCGAACGCAACGCGAATCTGAGAGAGTGGTAAACTGCCAGTGGTAATAAATGAGGCGATATACCCTCATCTCATTATGGCTTTGTTGTTTGTTGCCTTTAATATCATTATCGTTTATTTTTCAAACATTTTATCCGAAATTCCATTGTGCGTACCCGAGAGTTCAATCTGTTTTCGTGTTTTTTTTTTATCTCTCGTTCGTTGTATGTCGTAATCGGTATAATTCTGCCCATAATTGCATTGTGTTCGAGAGAGTTATACTTGCAACAACACAAAAAAAACGTGCAATTTTCATGTGCAACATACTCACACACACACACACACACACACACACTGGGTCTCACCATCTATCCCGCTCAAATGAACGAAAAAAAGCAATTGAAAGAAGGAAAACAACGAATTGAACAGGAGAGAAGAAAAAAAAGAGCAGCCCAAACAAATTAGAACCGCAACAAAGGCGATGCAAAATTAAGTACCGCATATACTCGACCTGTCTGATGCTATTATTATCGAATACTAACAAAAATGCCGCAGATCACGCATGCAAAGCGTAATGAGTTCAATCAATTTCATCATGATTATTTTACACGAAATGCACAAGCTACATCTCGTATTGGGATTGAAAATGAAAACACACACACACACACACACACACACACACACACACACACCAAACACGGAGTTGAGCTGCAGCGCGTGCATTACCAATCCAATTGCATGTGGTTTTTGATGTGCGCGCACTCTCATTCTGAGCAACAGCAACAATGCGAACAGAACAATCTCTATCTCTCCCACAAGTAACAAACGACGTAATTTCGAATCCTTTTGGATATTTCTCGACAGTATGTTTGATTTAGTGGAATTTCAGCTCAGAAATGGATTGCACGTACACACTTTGTTGTATGCGGAGTGCAGACACATAACATTAAGCCTCACTCATCTAGTTGAGCCCGTAACATGAAATGATGGCGTTGAAATGCATGTTTAAAAAAAAACATTTGTAGCAAAAAAAAAAGAAGCAAAATCGCTTTTGTTATCGCTGTTTTGTTATGTGTGTTTTTATCTTCATTTTTTTATTATTATTCACCGATTTTGAACAGAGATTCCAAAACGTGTACAGATAATTCTATTTTATGGTTTGAAAGTATATATATCTGTATATTTGCGGTTTACAGTGGGGTCAGTGGATGAGTGAGTGTATTGAAAAGGAATAAAAACTGAATTCGAAGTACGAAATTGTACACGATTAATACAGAAACGAAAATAATGTGCACATTTATTCTATAATTCGCATATTTTTGTATATGTACGTTCTTTTCCGTTGTTTAATTGTGAACAGTGAATGCAATTCATGTCGATTCGACCGTGCCATGAATCGGATTCGTTCAACAACAACAAAAACGAACCACAAATGAACGAAGTAACAAATTCGTGGAGTCAAAACCACTTACTATGTGATCCAAATCGTGCTGTGCTAAAGCGCTCAGCCGCACATTTTCAACCTGTTTAAATTGATCGGTTATACAATTAGTCTATTAATTCATACGTATACGTATTCGAATTGTTTGTGTGAATGCAGCAAAGCAAAAACTTTTAATCATCATTTTAAATGCAGCACACAAATCAGGCAACAACAACAACGAAAAAAATTGAAACGAAAAACAAATGCACACCCATTTGAAATACATATGCTTGATGTAACGCTATATTTGCGATCCTTTGGCATTTTTCAATCGATAAATTTTTCATATTTAGTTATAACTAAGTCCTCTATGGCACGTTGTATATATATTATTTTTTTGCATCTCTTATGCATGGATTTTGTGTGTGTGTGTGCAAGAGTTAGCGGTGCGCTAAATCTACCAGCTACCTGCTGCTGTTGATGACGCCGTCGATTAATATTGCATCGCCTTGATCGGCACGTAGGTGTTGCAGCACGATGTATCAATTGGCATGTAATTGCAACATGTAACGAACAAAAAGCAACAACAACAGCAAAATGTTCATTTTCATCTCTTCGAGCCTAGGCCGTTGGATTCTGGCGGTGAGCGTGCGAGTGCGAATTTTCGTTTCGCTTTTTTTATCTCGTTTCATTCTTTATTCTCTTCAACCCATGTAAAACCATTTTGCACATTGTTATTTCGTTGAGAATGCAATATGTT